TTTACTGTAAGCGTGCACGTTGTGGACTATTCAAATTATATCATGATCTCTTAACACTTACATAAAGATAACACTCATCTCATGAACTAAAGAGTTGAGAATAATAGTCCATCTCCTAAACACAAATTATATTGAATGCTTGTCCATATGAAGTGAAATAGTACTACTCGGCAATCAAGTAAAGCAAATTAAGCTAGGAATCATGATGTTTGTCGTGTACCGTATGCTAATACAGTGTTTATTAGTAGTTTGAGTCTTAGTGACATTATTTCGAAATGGTCTGATTATAACTTAGCCACGAAGTGATTTTAAGCAAAGTAATTGTACGATATCATTCAAGTGTGACATTACACCATCCGCAGTAACAAGAACATATATGCACTAGTCTCTCACATTTGGGCAAAGGGCCTGATTTATATTAAAATGGATCTAGACTTCGAATTACATCTTAAGAACAACAATGATAACAGATAACATACACAGTAACCAATTGAGCGTCAATAAAGTACAAAAAACGGTGCGCAATATTTTGTTAAGAAAACACTAACTTCATTTGGGCGTAGGGTGTTACTTGCTTTTGGAAAAGCAGTAGTAATCAAGCTCAATAAATAATTCAGTCATAATATACATGAAGATCTCGAAGAATTAAGAAAAGCACAAACCAACTAATCGTTTGGAGTCGACGAGTGCTGTGGAGATATCAGCTTAGGTCTCTGGTGGTTTTGTTGGGAAAGTATTCTGTGTACATGAGCCTCAAGCAAATCAACATGCTTCTCTGCATTAGTTAGTTTACTGTCCAACTGAGACAACTTTGTCCGACACGAAGAGTCAAAGCGATTGAGGAAATTTACTAGGCTTTTAATATTTGTAGTAATTACATCAATTCTTTCACGGTTGCCCCAATCATCCTTAATTTCTTTAGCAGCCCTAAAAGTCGAAGCCATCCATGTACCGGGATTGTCAAAAATGTCAGTCCAGTGTCCAATAGGTTTCGGTTTTGGTGTAAACCGACTGAGTTTGCCTCCTGTTGTTTTGGCACGATGGTAGGTATTTGGTAGTATTTAGCTCGACTTCAAGATTGAGTGGATATCAATGGACGTAGTTTCAACGCATCAATGTATAAGCTTGTTCATCAGAGACAGATATGGCATTTGGTTGGGCGAAAATGCATTTTAGTCAATCGACAATCATATGAATGTCTAGCCACTCCACTGGACTTATCACAAATATTTTGGCAGTAATATATTAATTTCCACATCTTGTTTAAGTGTTTTTCTCAGCTGTCAAATTTGTAGTAAGGACAGAAGGCTTACGGACTATGTTATTCCTTTTCTAGTATACTTCTGGGAGTATCTAGTTTTCTTTTGAATGAGTCAATTGGAAGTGCGTACACCACTGCTTCGGGTAACAGGTTCTAAGAATCTATGATTCAATTTGAAAACCTGTATGCAAAGGGTAGTTTTTCGTTCCTGGCTTTTATAGTCGCCTCATATATCCTCTGAATTATCTCAATTCAGTGGGAAGAAAAATAGAGAATATATTAGATTCAAAATCATTTGTTAGTGTCTTATGCATCAAAACCAGTTCACCTCAATCTGTGGTTAGTTAGAGTAAAGAAGTCTAGATTTTCAAGCCGCTCTATGTATGATAAACCCAGTAGTTCTGGAAGTGCACGATTAGCTGCCCTTTTTACGTTTTCCGGGATTCTCGGGATACCCACAAACAGAGGCTTGCAGACTGAACGCAGTTTTCAAGCTTTGTTCCTACTACAAGTGTGTACACTGTAGTGAACATGATAGTACCTAACTTGATGACTGTCCGTCTCGAAGGCCATAGGGTTCTAAACGGCTTGACTGCAGCCTCCCGTCAGTGTGTCATGGGCTTAGGATAATGACTGACTATTACAATAAAGTATTCATGAGATCGGACCATGGATACAGGCACTTCACCTAAGCTGTACCTATTTAACTTTGTATCACCAAAGTTCGTGTAGACACACTTTGCCGTATTGATAGGCATCAGCCACTCTTTAGACTAGTCTATCTGAAGTGCGCGAGCATCTGCTTCTCCCATTATTTCTCGCCAAATTTTCACATCATCAGCGTATAATAACATTAGGGACTCAACTATACTTCAGAGGAAATATACATACAGTACATAAGGTACAGAATTTAAGACAGAACTTTGATGTACTCTACTAAGTACTGGTCTTCAGCTAGAGCTCTTCTAGTTTACTATTACTTTCTGTCTACGACCTACTACGAAATCCTTAAGCCATTTTAGGCGAGGCATGTCGGGTTAAGATTTTCCAGCTTAAATATCAGTCTGTTTGGTAACACCTTGTCAAATGCTTTACTGAAGTATATGTAGACAACGCCCACTGATTTTTCATTGTCTAAAGCCTTTATCCATTGCAATAAAGAGGTTTGTTTTGCAAGACAAAGAACTTCTGAAACCATGTTGTTTGTTGTTTAACAAGTTGTTGATTGTCACGGATGTCATTATGATCTTTATTGCCATTACTTCCAGTATTTTAACTACGATATTCGTGAGGATGACAGGTATTTAGTCAATGAAAATTGTATTGATACTGTTTTGCGTATTGGAGTGACAATTGCATCCATCCAGTACGTAGGTAACTCATCTTGGTCAAGCGACCTATTGAATATCACAGTTAGTGGCACTGCAATGTTGTATGCAATTTGTCTCGGGATTCTGGGGTCTGGTTCATCCAGTCCTGTTGATTTTTCCACGTCTGAGTTGCCAAAATCTTTAAGTACACTGTCTTGATCAGAGTCCACGGTGAGCAAACGGTTTGCTGACTTTGTATTTGGGTGTAGATCTTCATCTGAAGGAGGCTCCTTAGTGGAAGCTACCCCTGAATAGTTCGCCATATTCTTTGCTTTGTCCTGATCATCCTCTATCTTCTGGGATCCACTGCCTTTTTATCATTAGGTTGTGAATCAAATGCTGCATCCTAGTTCTATAACTTTTGTACGAGAATATCCTCTTGGGCTGCTTGATTGCAGATAGTGCTAATTACATTTTATAATTTCTCTGGACTTCCCGGGTTTTAATTATACACGATTTCTTACTGACCTGTATCGTTCCATAGTACTTGCTGTGTCAAGGCTGATAACTATCCAGTTTTCAGCCGATGCTGCACAGTTTATTGCCTTCATATGTTAAGACGAGCTGAAACAACTATTTGACAGGTTGTCTCAGAGGTGAACTTGAATATGATGATCACATGCAAGGAAATTCATTTGGCCGACCTCATCTCCACGCAACGCTGTGTGCGTTAGCAGTTAAGACTATCAACTGAGACGTTGGCTGGTTGCAATGTGAAAATAATGTGATCGTTTGTGTGATAATCGAGCGATTGTTTGGCGAATTAACTTAACAAATAAAATAGTTTGTAAAGCAGACAAATGGTAATCCAAGACTATGTAATTGTCAAGTCTCTTCTTGTTAGCAATGTTCTGGTGGAGTATTCATGTTGAAGTGAATTCGTGTACTCAGTATGTTGTGTGTAATTATTAGATTACCTCTTATCTTATAGCCGAGTGTGAATAATTCCAAATGTTCGAGTTCAAGTTGTCTTCGTATGGAGTGAAAAAGTAGACTTACATTGCGTTGATACCAAATTGATTTAAGGTAGCGTGGTTACTGGCCCAAGATTCCGCTTTCAGTAGACAGTTGAGAGGGGATTCTCATAGGGATTGGAAGTGCTATGTATCGACTAGAGTAAGTTGTTTGAGTCTCTTGGGGAAGAATGTTCACGACGTGAATTTTTCATAGTTTATGTTTTAAGTTGCGTGTTGTTCAATTGCTGTAAAGTTATTTTAAGTCTCATTTAGTCTTTTATAGGCCTCCATCTATTCACGTCCTTCTCATATATGCTTACCGTTGAGCCAATTGTTCTTAAAGATTTACTCATAGAAAAGGATAGTCACTTTTCAAGTGTTTACTTTACTTTCGATGTGTTGATATGGCAGATATTGTAAACGCAACTACTGACCTCATGAGAAGGCAATTTGGTGTGACTACTTCATAGTTGTTCCAAAAGCTGTTCGAAACATATGCACGGCCCTACTTTGGAGTCCACATTTATGTTGTGCTTGATCTCTTCGCAAGAGGCACAAATACCTTGGACCAAATATACAGTTGGTTTTGAGGCTAAAAGATAAATGTTACGAGAAAAAACTCCAGCATCTGAGATTGTTCTCGTTGAGTTACAGGACAGTAAGAGATGTCCTGATAATGGCATGCAACAAACCAAGTTATTCGAACCACCTCGATATAAGGAATTTTACAAGAATATCGTCACAACGCTTCTCGAGACAACTCTCGAAAGAGCGTACACCCTAGCACTCTCTTACGTTTTCTCATTAAAGGTAGACGCCACCAGAAATGCCTTACCAGCCAAAGTGATCACAACCGCACGAGTGGATAGCTCTAAAAAGAGACTTGATAAACACGTAGTCATCAATGGATTATTATCTGACGCTTATCTCATTAATTCTCACGGTTATCACTAACGCATATAAGTGAGTACTTCATTTGTCTCTAAATATTACCACCGTTTTCAGTCTAATTCCGTCTTATCACGCACCATCACTTGCTCAGCCCGTTTGTTACTCTTGAAATAATTATCTTCTCTTATAATTCGAATTATTACTATTATTTTCTCATTACAACCAAACTCCGGCCTGTTAATGAGATAGCTGCTGGAGGTTGGAAGCCCTACTATTTCAAGACAAACGCACTCACACTAGCAAAAAGACGTGCGAATCCACAAATAAACACCAAAACGACTAAAATTAGTGCGATTGCGTAGCTAGACTGCCACTCCCTGAAAATTTCTGAATATTTGGAATCATACCAATACAACAGTAAGCCAACTCAAAGAACTCAAATAGCTTATGCAAACTGGTGACAAAGGTAATAGATATACTGAGCACTGTATTTGTTTAGATTTTGTTTAATTATTCCAATATATTATGTGTTGGTAGGACAAAATGCTCAACTCATTGAAATAATATAACTTTCGAAATCGAGTCTAGTTTAATAGCAGCCCTTGAAATTTATTGACTTTGTGAATTAATACCATAGACTGACATCGGTCAAAAATTTAAGATAATCGTCTCTTAAAGTAAGTAATAACCCTTTAAAGTAATTACAGTCATCCTTTCAAATATTAATATCTGATCGAATTAGATCAAGTTTTATATATATATATATATATATATATATATAACACATTAGATTGATCTCTGTAGATATTGATACAATGCATAATTACGATTATCAGTTTGCTTCCTGGTAAAGTGTTATTTGACCGTCACCGTTTGCAGATATTTGGTAATTAGAGGATATTTAGAGGTTTTATATGTGCTCATTCAGTTACATACTCGCATTTCTTATTGTTTTTCTCTCTTGTAGGTCCCTTAGATCGCTTGGTTTATGTTATATTCTTTAACCAACAAAATGTCTTCTGGACAGACATGAACCTATAAACGATCTAAAGCGTGTTAGTAGTATAACAGCAATTGAAACGTCAACGTATAATTACAAGATTTTTTGTTTGTAAAAATGAGTAATCCGTAAGTTTCTACGTAAAATAATTCTTTTTTAGTTCTATTCGGTTTAAGTGTACTATGAACAATACGATTCTTGATGTCCTAAGAAACCGAGGGTGGATTGAGGTTTGCAGGTAACCTAATAATTACTAAGTATGAATGAAAAAAGTTTACTTTATCAATGTAAATTATCAAACATAGGAGCTTCATTCTTATGAATCATTTTTTTACTATGACCTACGATGTAAATTAAAAAGAAAACTATCCGATTACATACCATCTGGTGGTTTAGTCCATTAAAGCATATTATGTTGACTTAAAACACTAAACATTCACCAAACAACTCAACTTATCCTCTATATATACAATGTTCTCATGAAGAAAAAGTGGTTCAAATGGTTGTGGACGGAATAGAAGAAACTTTCGCTCAACAGGCTTCCGTGTCTAGTAGTAGGGGTTCACCAATACCTCCAGGCAAGAACCTAGGTATGTTAACGATGAAAGAAAAAAAAGAAATTGATAAATCTTAGTGAGATACTATCCTTAGTTCTTAAGAATAGATCAAGTCGCTTCTTAAAGGACTCCTGGGAATTTGCTTGGACTAGCTGAGCTGGCAGCGAATTCCAGCATTTGACAACTCTTAAGGAGTAGAAGTTGTGCCTGCAGTCCGTTCTACTATGTTGTGTCTTTAATATCTTGGTATTACCCCTTAGGTTCGTGTTGGGACTAAGCTTAAGCAGGTGTTTAAGAGGATGTCCAGAAGTTTTAAGGGTACTGTAAGCCATTAGGTCACCTCTAAGACGCCTATACTCTAATGGGTAAAGGTCGAGTGTTTAAAGCAATTAGTCCCTTTTATAAATTTCGATAGAACGATGAGAAGACGGAGTTGATCTGAAAAATGTAATGTATTTGCGCTATACATTTCGAACAATCTGGTCACACATATACTTGTCAGGGCATTTTATATGAAAATTAATAAATGTCAATTACATAAAAGTTAAAGTACAAACAAAAATAACAAAGGGAATGAGAGAAAGGATAAGAAATTTTCGCATTATCCTAGGCCATAGAATGACTCAAGGATTACCAAGGTAAATTCAAGGTTTCGACAAATTGTTTTTGTATACATAAAGGGGGCTTAAATTTACGAATAGTCAAGGCTTCTATGAACTTAAGAATTCGTCCATGACAGTTTCTATACAATTTCTATACAACATATAATTGAAACGGGGCACAAAATTGATATTATTGCAGCTTTTAAAACGTTGTATAGAAATTGTCAAGGACGAATTCTTAAGTTTATAGAAGCCTTGACTATTCGTAAATTTAAGCCCCCTTTACGTATACAAAAACATTTTGTCGTAACCTTGAATTTACCTTGGTAATCCTTGAGTCATTCTATGGCCTAGGATAATGCGACAATGTCTTATCCTTTCTCTCTTTCCCTTTGTTATTTTTGTTTGTACTTTAACTTTCATGTAATTGACATTTATTAATTTTCATATAAAATGCCCTGACAAGTATATGTGTGACCAGATTGTTCGAAATGTATAGCGCAAATACATTACATTTTTCAGATCAACTCCGTCTTCTCATCGTTCTATCGAAAGGTCGAGTGATTGGAGGCGCTCATCGTAAGGTTTAAATTTGAGTCTTCGAACTGATTTCGTGGCTCGCCGTTGGGTACGCTCTAGAGTGTCCTTATCCTTTTTGGAGTGTAGAAGGGAATACTATGTTTCCATACTATAAATGAGGCAAATGAAACTACTGAAGATGATGTGGAAAGTTCTCCCGTCAAACTGACGAAAAATGCGCTTCAATGTTACCAGTGCAAGGTTTGCTCGAAAGGCATTTCTGTCACAGTTGGTGTAAGACTTTAAGTCGTAGGGCACCAAAACTCCTAAATCATTTTTGACTCGCGATACTACTAGAGACGTTACTGAACGGTTTCGTCAATATAATACTTACTCTTTATTTTCCGGTCTTCATATGTAAGAATAGGAGATCCAGACATTTCTAAGTGAACTATATCAATCGTTTCTATTTGCAGTGCTGTGAAGATTTACCCTCGTTTTGAATACACTGATAAAAGATGGTGGCATTATGTCTCCTCAAAGACAATTTCCCTCTTTAATGAGAAAAACAAGGCTCTAGATGTCGACTATTTGCTCTCGATTTTTGCACTATCCTATAGTGTCTTCTTAGATGATCAGTCCTGGATACAAGGAGAAAACAAGACATTACAATCCCGAAATCACCGTTCAGTCTATGATAAACCAGTATAAGATCACCTTTTGACTTGTATACCTTGCTGATAAGTGACTATTGAACTGTAATAATTAATGAAATCTCTGGTATTATACAAATGAAAATATTATATGAGTTGTGTTAACGAACACTCGGATTAGTATGCTTATATGATATCTGATTACGAATCTGAATTTCCTGTTTGGATTCAGATATTTAATGCATATCAGAGGAAAAGATGGCTAAGTAGCGAGAATAGATAATTTGAAGAGGTAAATTTGCACACTTTACAAAACATTCAACACTAACCGAGAATAATTGAATTTATTCAAACGTGAATAACTGCTCTATATGGTTTTTGTAGTTCATTCATAAATTAGGACACTAAAGCCCAATTACCGAACTTAAGTAACACTTCTCATATTGTTTGGCTGATTCCACTTTGCATGTGAACTATATAATCTTATGAATGAGTTACAAATAAATAAGTACATGTTAATGGAAAACATATATTAAAGTAATATTAGCCCAATGACTTAACGTTTTTCCAGCTATGATAAGGTGAAACTTTCATTTCACTTAGAAAATATTTTCGAGGGAATATAAGTGAATATTTTTGTATATCACAAATGAAAAATTTTTTCTAACTGGTTATTATATTCAATTCCTTTTTTATTTTTTACAGAGAGGAAGAATGTGATTTCTTTTGGTGTGATCCCATGACAATGAAAGAGTTATTTGATCATGGATTAATGGGTAATATATCAAAGATTTGTCATTTTCGGAATCACTTTGAGGTATGTTGAACATCAACTGTGAGATGTAGATACATCTAGTTGACGAATTACAAAATAGGATGATGTATTGCACGTTCTAGATTCCACTGCTAGTCACTAATATTATTATTTTTATTTTTAACACATAGATATTGGTACAAGGAGGCACCAAATACATATATGCCACACAGATCTCATTTGATATGTGTGAAGGCTGTGTAACTGCCCGGGTGCCCAAACCGAACCAGGTGGCGTTCTTAGGGGGACACACCCAGAGCCTTTGACCTGAATATCTGATCCACGAGGCAGTAGAGCATCGTGAAGACATTCAGCCCCATGGTAGCCGGTGACCAAGAAATTGGTTCATACGCCATTTGTTCCTCCAGGATACTGGAGCCCATGTGCACCATTGGTTTGGAATCCGGTTAAAGCGCCAGACATTCACTTTTCGTCCTCTCAACTTCGTAAACAACACCCCCGCCACATGAATGTATTGAGTAAAACTTCCCTGTCAGAGGCTATATACGCGTGACCATGTGAGAGCATTTCGTGAGGTTGAGTGGACTCTCCCCCCCTCTCGACCATACCGTGACATTTAGGGGCTACTAGTCACTATCCATTCTTAACATTCACTTAGTAAAATGTATTTTGTTAAAGTAAAAAAAACATGAAAACTAAAGCACAATTAAATCTTATCTAATGATTAGTTCATGTAAATATCTCTAATTGTATAGGATTGTAATATTTTCATGAATAACAATAATCATTTATTGTATAGATTAGTTCATGGAAGATACATTAGTTACTAAATGTCAATATTTACTCATAGTGATAAGTACTCAGGTTGTTTTTTTTTTTTTTTTTGTTATTATCTTGGATATCATTTGAATCCTATAAATGGTTGTTTTATATTTTTTATATTAATAGCTTACACGTAAAAATTTAATGGTTAAAAATTTAAAACGTTTAAAACGTAAATGGGAAAAAGAATATAATAAACAAGAAAGTCAAATGTAAGTGACTCTTCCCCACCCCACCCCCACCCCCACCCCCTCGCCTTGTTATAAATGACCTTATTTGTTCTGTTATATATATAGATTGGATTTTTTCCCAACAACATTTGAATTACCAGTAAGACTATTTAATGATTTTTATTTAAGATGGAATATCATATGTTTATTGAAGAATTTCGTAAATATCCTGGTTCTATATGGATAATGAAACCTATAGCTAAATCACAAGGTAAAGGAATATTTCTATTTCGTAAATTAAAAGAAATTGAAGCATGGAAACGTACTGGAATGGTAAATTATGATTAATGTGTAATCAATATTTACCATATTTACCTTATTTTTTTAAAAAAAATATTTCAATAGAGATTTGAACAACAACAATCTATTAGTGATACACAAAATCGGGAACTCCCTGAAACTTATGTTGTTTCAAGATATATCACTAATCCATATTTATTATGTGGACGTAAATTTGATTTACGTGTTTATGTTCTTGTTACATCTGTAAGTTATTATTACTATTATTTATTTATTTATTTATTTGAACACATAGATATTGGTACAAGAGGGTACCAAATACATCTGTGATACTGCTCAGGTGCCTAAACCGAAGTAGGTGGGTCTTCTTAAGGGGCCACACCTCAAGCCTTTGACTTAAAGATCTAACCCACAAGGCATTGGAGTATCATGAAGAGATGCCATCGCAATGGTAATCGGTGACCAAACGATTGGTTCCCTCAGAATACTGGAGCCCATGTGCACTATTGATTTGGGATAGGGTTAAAGCGCCGGACATTCGTAGGTCAGTTATAGGAAGTGTAAACAACCCAACATACAAACCATGCAAGAACAATACAGTCGGTATGGTTTTGCTGATTCTAATCTTTTAAATTTCTTCTAAATTAGTTATGATTGTAAATAAGGAAAAAATGTTAGCTAACGAATGTGTGAAAACTTGAGATGAAAAAAATTGTCAACTCTAAAAATGTGTTCATGTTGAGAGTAGAGTAAAAATAGAGAAAGTGAACAACTTTGACGGACGTCACATGATGTAATCGATTTAAAAGATACTTCCCCATAAGTAACACTAACTTGATTAAGTATATTCAAATAAAGAGCTTTCAATTTCTGTCAAAGCCTTTGAGTGAAAGGTGCCGTCATGAAACATGTCAATCAACAGAGTCAAATCTATATTTCAGATCAATAGAAAGGATTATAGTTGACAATTATAAAAATGTGAACTTTCATTGAAAGCATAATCCACAGTAACTGTCAAAAGTGATCGTATTATTGTCAACGAGGTATGGAATACAGTTCGAAGAAAACATTAAATCATGTTTCACTTCAACTATTTGTATTCATCTCATATAGGTCTAATTATCTAATTGAATGTTGTTGTTTTTTTTTTCTTTATAGTTTAATCCATTGAAGGTTTGGGTTTATAGAGATGGATTTGCTCGTTTTTCTAATACAAGATTTTCATTAGATTCTATTGATGATCAATGTATCCTTTTGAATGGATTCTATATGATATAACTATTATAGTATTTATTGTCAATTGCTCTTGTCATATATATATAGACTGGTTGAAATCATGAATTAATTGATGTTAGAACACTATGGAAAACATGGAAACACTAGACGGCTCTTTCGTCCTATTCTTGGACTCCTCAACAGTGAGGATCCACGGTCTTGACCCCCGCGAGATTCGAACACAGGACCTATCAGTCTCGCGCCAGTAAAATTTCTGAAACCTCCATAAAACCCCTTCCGATAATAATCGTCTGCTCACTGGTGAATAACTTCAAGAGATACTCCTGGAGTTCTGGTGTGAAGCCATGACCAATGGAGTTCAACCAGGTCTATTGTGAGATATCAGTTCATTGAAGACAATAGTAGCGGTGGTGCAATTTCGTGGATTGGTTGAAGTTAAACATTAACACTGTTGGATGCCGTCTCAGTGGTCTAGTTGGTTAAACGCCTGGCGCGAGATTGATTGGCCCTTGGTTCGAATCTCGTGGGGGAAATCGTGGATGAGCACTGCTGAGGAATCTCATACTAGGACGAAACGGCCGTCCAGTGCTTGCAGGTTTCCCATGGTGTTCTAGCTTCAATTGACTCATGATTTCAACCAGTGAAATCTATAAAATTTCCACAAAACCCCTTCTGATATATATAGACAGTATAGGGGACGGATATGTTATTTAAATGTGTTGTATTGTTTAAGACAAGCTGTATTTGATCGATTAGAAACTACAAAACCGTAATCATAAAGCGTTTATCAACAGTCGCTTATCTTTGTTAACAGCGTATTAGGAAGTTTATAGCGAAATCTAATTTTTCTCCTTATGAATCGTCTAAACAATTCTATAGACTGTTGTATATAAAGTCTTAGCTTCACTATAATCAAAATAGGTAAATTATATATTTATAGCCTATAAAACAAATACATAAAGTTAGTATAAAGCATAAACTAAAATTCAATTAGGAAAAAGGATTGTGAAGTGAATATTTACCAAATATTAGTATGGATACGATAAAACTGAAGCAATAAAAGAGCTAGTCATTTTTCTAAAAGAAGGTACAGTTCCATAACTGATAGTCAGAAAAAGATTGAGCCATTCAAGATCAGATTGAGTGTAAATGGTTAGTGTTTTTTACATACGTAGTTACTTACGCTTGTTGCTCCTAATGAAGCATAGACCGCCGACCACCATTCTCCAACCCACTCTCTGTCTTCGGACTTTCTTTCTAGTTCTATCTAATTTTTGTTCATTCTTCTCATGTCTGTCTCCATTTCTCGGCGCAATGTGTTCTTTGGTCTTTCCCTTTTCCTTTGACCTTGAGGATTCCATGTGAGGGTTTGTCTTGTGACGCAGTCCGGTGCTTTCCTCAATGTATGTCCTATCGACTTCCAACTCTTCTTCCTGATTTCTTCCTCCACTTGAATCTGGTTTGTTCTCTCTCACAGTAGGTTGTTGCTAATAGTGTCCAGCCAACGGATCAGAAGTATTTTGCGTAGACAACTGTTAATAAACACCTGTATCTTCTGGATGATGGTTTTCGTAGGCTGTAGCTGATGGTATACGGTCAAAGTACATTGCGTATCTTTCGCAGACAATTTTTCGTAAATAATTTTACCTTTTTGATGATGGTTGTGGTAATTCTCGAAATTTCAACCCCGTACAATAGAACTATCTTTTCGCTTGTTTTGGCGATTCTTACTTTTATATTGGTTGATAGTTGTTTTGAGTTCCAACTGTAATAATGAGAACCTCGCTTTGCGAATCTTTACATTTACGTGTGCATCAGATCCTCAGTGTTCATTGATGATGCTGTTAAGGTACGTGATAGATTCCACCTGTTACAGAGTTTTTCTATCAACTGTGACTAGGTTGGTGTTCTCTGTGTTGTATTTGAGGATCTTGCTTTTTATCTTGTGTATGTTGAGTTCTACTGATACAGAGGCTGCTGCTACAATGACGATCTTCACTTGCGTTTGTTGATGTGTATGGGTTGAATGGCTATTTGATCTGGGAAGACCAAGTTTCGCTGAGATGAGGAGGTCTTGATAATCCAGTCAATACCCAGAAGAAAGAGAAAGGGGGAGATTAAGCAATTTTGTCCGACTCCGGTTCTTACTTGCAATGCATTCACCAGCTGTCCTTCATATACGACTTTGCAGTGTAGTCCATCATATGAGTTCCGTATGATATTGACGACCTGCTCGTGTAAACCAGTGTCAAAGGTTTCATAAGGTTCTCTTATCCACAATATAAAAGCTTTCTCATAATCAAGGAATTTGATGAATAGCAACAAATTCCATTCACTTGAATGTTCAACAATGATCCATAATGTCGCAATCCTTACGAAATCCGATCCATTGATCTCAAAGTTGAACATCTACTGAATCTTTCATTCAGTTCAGCAACACTCTGTTAAAAGCTTTTCCTGATATCGATAGTAGTATGGTGCCACTGTAGTTCTCACATTTGTTTAGATCTCTTTGTTTCTTGATGGGTTATCCCTATTTTCATTCTACAGGTACTCGTTCTTCATTCTAAATCTTTCTGAAGTAAACGTTAATATCTTTGTAGCTGCCTCTATATTTGAATTAATTCCTTCAACTGATATCTTGTCTGCTGCTGCTTTGTCTAATAGCCTTTAGAAGCAAAACCCGACTAACACGTCCTCATCGTGCCTCCTGGATAATGGTTCTCAGTCCCATGAGCTAACATGAGCGATAACACGGCTGGTATAAATCAGGCTAATCACCCATTCGACCTATACCCACAAACTAATTACAAAACCCACAAAGAATCACAACACAATTACTCCTGGATCGAAAAACGACAAAAAATTGTAAAAAAGTTGTGCATGGAATGTAAGGTGTTTCTCCCTACAGGGCAAATTCCAAACGATTGCAAAAATAGACATCCTAGTCCCGGCAGTTCTGCGGTGCTTCGATGTGACCTATATCTCTCCAGAAGGGTCTACTAGGCTTCACCAACTTGTTTGTCTAAAAGAAGCACAACTAATAGCCTTGTTGATTCTTTTTAATATCTTTAATGAGGTAACATTTATAGGGATATCTATGTGTTCTTTGGTACTCTAATTATGCCCCTTGTATTATTGGGTGCTGTTACATAATCTAGAGATTTAAGATGAATTATTTAAATGTACCACTAAAGATTGAATGTTTTTTTATGGTGAAATTCATGTTTCCTATTATATAAACTTAACACTGTATACTTCATCATAGATATACATTTAACAAATATTGCTGTACAAAAGACTGCACCTGATTATGATGCTGAAAAAGGTTGTAAATGGTCTATTGGTCGTTTACGTCGACATCTTTTATCTATATATGGCTATAAAAAAGTAAGTGTTTTACATTCATATAAAATTATTTCAATGACCAAAACTTGCATCATTTTGTAGTTATGATGGTATTATTATTCTCTCTTACGGTTACAATCCAACTATTCCTATTGCTTAGTATTCTTAGACATCAATTCATTCGACAAGTTCCCAAATCACAACATAGCTGAACAGGAAAGAGATTATATTCCAAATAACAAGGGGTAGATGGAAGTAAGAAGAAACACATTAGGAAAAACGTTAGTATATTTATAGTTTTTACATGAGACGATCCTAGAATGTTTTTCAAGTATCAACTAGCGCTGATTGGCTAATTCTTAGCCAAATCAATGACAAATAAGCTAGTACAAGCAGCCTGGAATCAATCTTTGAGTCCTTATCAATCCTTCTCGTCTAGCTCTGACTGTTAAGCTCAGAACATAGCTTCTATTTGCATAAATCTTATATTTTAAACATACTTGGTTTATATACAAACCAAACAGACCAGATTATATCATAAAATAGCAAATAACAATTATACAAGATCAAGCTAAAAGGTGGCTGTGAGTGTGAGAGACTGTAACTAATAAATTGAGAATCACTTAAGATTAGTTAAATGGTATGTTAGTAGTCAATAGATCAAATGATGGTTTATGATCAAAAGGAATATGAATATACATATAACAGAGTCACTTATTAGTTATACGCCCCCAAATGCCCTGGTACGGCCGAAAGTGGGGAAAGACCGCTCTCCCTCTCGAAATGCTCTCACATGGCCATGCGTATATAGCCTCTGCCAGGGAAGTCCTACTCACTTCCTTCTCGTGGCGGGGGTGTTGTTTACAAAAATGAGAGGACGAAAAGCGAATGTCCGGCGATTTAACCGGACCCAAATCCAATGGTGCACATGGGCTCCAGTATCCTGTGGGAACAAATGGCGTATGAACCAATCGTTGGTCACCGGCTACCATGGGACTGCATCTCCTCACGATGCTCCACTGCCTTGTGGGTCAGACGTTCAGGTCGAAGGCTCGGGGTGTGGCCCCCTAAGAAAAAAACCTGCTTCGGTTTTGGCACCCGGGCAGTATCACAGCCCTCACACAAGTCAATTGAGATTTGTGTGGCGCATATGTATTTGGTGCCTCCCTGTACCTATACTTATGTGTTAAAATAAATGAATAAAAATTAGTTATACAGTAAGGCTGTACGTATAATTTTAGTCCATGAATAGTTCCCACAAGTTACCCTTAATTTAATCTTCACTAGATGATAACAATCCATTAATATATTGACATGATTTTATATCTCAATTAATCAAATATACGTTGCTAGTTGGTTGCCTACGCTCCATTGGGAGTAACAGGCGTAAGTAGGCAAATAAGTAATCATATATATAGATGTATGTGTGTATGTGTGTGTGTTTATCTATTTTTATAGGTTGCCGAGTTATTTCATCAAGTGGATATCATATTTATTGGAAGTTTATTAAGTGTTCAAAAGATTATTATCAATGATAAACGTTGCTTTGAATTATATGGTTATGATATATTACTTGATGATAATTTACGTCCATGGTTATTAGAAATTAATGCATGTCCATCATTGACAGCTTCATCTAAAGAAGATTATATATTAAAAGTAAGTGAATTTAATCTTTAGATATTTATATGCATAGATAGATAGTGACTAGCATTGGAATTCAGGATGTACGTTTCATCCTATTTAGGACTCGTTCGCTGGATGTATCTTCATCTCACTTTGAGACTCGAACTCAGTACCGTTTGTTTCAAACGCCATCACGTTATCTACTTAGCTATTGAGTCCTATTAGCCACCAGCTTGTTTAATGAAGTGAAGTTTTAAATTTACTTGATGTTGTTTACTTAAATCTTCTCATTGATGTTTAAGACCACAATTGATTAGTCTCTTATTGGCAAATGTGTATCCTGTTATGACTTGTGACCTTTCCGAGAGTGAAAATCAACTCTGAGATGTAGGTATATCTATCTGAAGAGTCCCAAACAGGATGAAACGTCCGTCCTGGATTCTGTTGCTAGCCATTATCCATCTTTACTTATAATTCACAACTATTGTCAATACTTGATAAGACCAAAATTTTAACTACTTTCGAAATACTAGTGGAAGCAGTTCAGCAGATTAGTCTGTTTATACTTTCCTTTGTGATTATCTATTAAACATCTATAGCTAGTCTTCTGAGCAAACATACTTCCTTTTAAAATAATGGAAGAAATTTCAAGCTTAAGTAAATTTTTTCGGTGGTGTTAATCCACATTTCCGTCTAACTGCCTCGTTTGTGATTGATTATTGTTGATTTTGTTTACTTCATCTGCTCTTGAATGACTATCTTCTTTCATTGATCTCTGATTCTATGATCGATTAAACTCTTCCATATATGGTAACAGATCTAGTTTGTAGGTATCGTCACTGATCATCAACTGATTTGAATATTATGCTTTTAGAAATTCCTCGAGGTTCTTAGAGTTCCTGTGATTCACAATTTCTGACCTTCTGCAATCAAATTCACGTTCATTTTTACTTTATGTACAACGTAAAACTAACCCATTAATTCTTCCTATTTACCAAAAAAAAACCCCAGTTCTTTTGATTGTTGCAAATTCTTTAATATGAAATCTACTTTCCAGACTAATCTTTTGAATGATATGTTAGATGTTGTGGATTTGGAGGGTCGTTTAACAAGTTTTGAGAAACGTGTTGGTGATTTCGATCTAATTTGGGATGATGGTCCTATTCATCCTACAACTGATACTACAGAAGGTTGGTTAATCAATGCATTGAACACTATAAACCCGTTTAATTCAGAAAATTCATCGGAATCAGTACATGTGTTTGGACCTAATGGACTACCTAGACTTAATTCATTTCTTGGTTGTACTTCATATCAATCAACTAGACATAAGTTGGACTCGAAATGTTAATTTCTGAACAGTAATACAAAGATAATAAGAAATAATAAAGATATTTACTATTCATTACATTGTGTTTCACTGTATAAAAGTTTTATTTGATATCAAAAATAAATAACATTCACAGGATAACTCTGATATTTTAGTTTCTGGACAGTTCTATAACATTATATAACAATCTGTTTATTCTACAAGGAAGGATTTCACTGTACAAATGTTTTGGTGTTTTTATCGGTATAACAAAGCAGTAACATATTGGCAATTAAACTATCAGCTTCAGGTTATTTAAACGTTTATGGTTTCTATGTTAAGGAATAGAGACCATTATTTTATTTGTCCATTTTTGGTTTCTTTTTCCCAACCCACTCATACACTAAAGAACGTTGGTCTTTGAAGTAGAGGTATAAATGATAGTGCTGTATATGTTGTATGATATTGTGGATTCATGTGTAGTGACCTACTTTTATTAAGTGAACGCGATTAGTTTAATGGAAGTAATCATTATTATAATCAATTGTAGTGTGGCATCCAGACGCGGTTGACTATGATCACCACTACAAGAATAGCGCGTACCAGAAAATCAGAAAACGAATGAAGGTTGTAACCAGATTTATTTGTTGGCGATCTTGTGGTATCAAAAGTATACCGAGATCGTGCCAAAGGAAGTACAAGTGGAATCACTGGGCGAGCGTACGTGCGTACAAGGTCACAGTCAACGGAAGAATAATGGATGTCTTTTGTACAGTTAAACAAACAAGCACAGTAAAACAACCGCTGGTACAATTGATTATAATAATGATTGCTTCCATTAAACCAATCGTGTTCTCTTGATAAAAGTAGGTCACTACAGATGGATCAACCTGGAACAGATTTTAGTCTTTAGGAACAGACAGTGGCTTGAAAACAGGATTTCGCATGAATACAGTTGTGATATTTTTATGAAATGATGATTTTTTTGTACATTATGTCACGTTTTATTCATAATTATGCAATTATACCATATGAGTTTATGGTTTCCTGCCTTAAAGCACTGATGTTTTCATAGCTACTAGAGTACGTTTCCGACAGTTGCTGGAACTTTTAAATCGTACATTGCATTCCATATCATTATATAGTCTGATATTGCAATGGAGTCAATTATTTGATAATTGGCTTGTTATTCGAATGATATGGTGTTTGAATACTATATACATCGATCAAATATTTGATGTGACAACGGATGTCAAAAATGTTGACTTCCTATTTAGTTTTGTTTTCAGTCAGTCGCTCGAATCGATATCCTAAATTTGGAACGAGATCTAACATAGCTGACAAAATCTATGTTTTAGAACTGCTCGTATAGATTTAGAGTCATAGAATAGACCGTGCTTGAAATCCATATTATTCTCAAATCCTTTGATTATCTGCTATGGCCACATATGTTCTCACAACCATCTAAAGTGTTAATTCAGTCTTGATTGTAGTCGTCACGAAGTTACCGAAAACAACTCAACAACAGATTCAAAGACAGTGCACAAAAACAAATTGAAAACTGTTACTCATTTATCGCGTGGTATATTCGATTCTGTGAGATAACATCCGTTTCGTAATTCCAAAATCTTTGATTGTAGCAAGATTGGTTACATAAAGACAGCATGACGTATTGTTACTAATCCCAGTGCATGTTTGCAATCAACCTCGTGACTTCAATCCGATTGATAAGTTTAATGCAAATAAAGAGCTAATGCTCTTCTCATTTGAAATCACAAATAATTAACTTCAAACTTGGAAGTAGTTATTGATATTCGGGATTTTGCTTCATGATTTGTTTGTTGATAACAGTGGAGTTGAATATAATGTTTCATATTCCAAGGCTCTCGGCCTGCTATTTTTAAGTAGTGAAGTTACAACGATAATTTCATCTTTTGTTTAGTCGCTTTGTTTTAAACATGGCGAAGAGCAAGCGGAGCTAGTCAGCTTTAGTCAAACATACGTGATATTTTCTCGATACTCAACCCTCGAGTATTGCTAGGTGACCTACGCTATGTTATTGTAGAGTAAAATTTTGGTGAAAGCGAATGAAGAATGCAGATGCATCGGACCCAAGGCAGATCTAGACGTTCTAGTTAGCCGGTCTAAAATCTGTTTGGTGCCTATGAACGCGGTCAAGTGCGTCTTTATGCACATTGGTAATACAAAGACAAATAGCCACAACAATGCAAAATCGTCGGTGCCCCTAGTTCTGTAGCACAATCATCTAGAAATAACAGCGAGTCATGATCTTAAAACTAAAGTTCATTACCACGCCAATGCCGCTAAACAGTTCGAAACCCTATAGACTTCGGTATGGAATTTTACTAAGCTAGATACGAGTATGTCTGCTGCAGTTTAGGCAACTCCAGTGACGTTTAGACGTTAAAACTGCGTTCCGGTTTCAAGCTTCTACTTAGAGGGTATAAAGAACAACTATTCATGCAACTCTATGATTCTTAGGTCTTTCATTCAGAGGGCGGCTTGAGAAATTAAACAATCCTACCCTATCTTACATCGAATTTCGATGTGACCTGAGTTTGACATACAGAACACTAAGAAATGATCTTGGATTCGATATATACTTTCCGTTACTTCCTGATAGGTCAGGGCAATTTAGAGGAGAGCAGGCTAGTTCACAGCCAAGAGTGAATACATTGGCAGTGTCATACAGGTTTTTCCAACGATTTATCGACTACTGGTATCTGTTACCCAAAGAAATGGTGTTCGCACCTTCAACTGATGTATTCAAGAGAAGATTAGACAATCACTTAAGTCTACTAGCGATGGACTAACGCAGACCACTGGCATTCTCTTCTCAATCGATAAATGTGAACCTGGAATAAACAGCTCTGAAATCGTATTTTGAAGCTCCTGTCTATGTAGCAGGCTCTATAAGTTCACCATTTGACTTAAGTATCTATGAAATAAGGTATTAAGCTAGTAAAGTACGTAATATTTGTGGTGTATCTCAGAATATTGACTGGTAGTTGGTCTTCGATTAAACGTCAAAAATTGTAAGTTAGCTATTATTCTTCAATCTGTGGAAACCAAACTGACATGTTGTTGTTTGGCAAGTTGATCGAATGAACGTTCCTATGGAAGTGAGTTCCAGGAAAAAGCTGATGCGACGACTGAGATTGATCGCGTAATATTTGGCTGAAAACATCTTAGTAATGTCAAAACATCATAGCCCATGTATTCATTTACTTACTTATTTTACACTATATTTCTCTTTATTTTTAATATAAACGTTGAAAACTTTGTGTGTTTCTAAGAAAGTAACTTCGCACTCCGACTATTCTTTTCCACCATCAAAATAGGAACCTTTTCTCCAGTAGTTTGGTTTCTTCTATAGACAAAACAAAGAGTAACCACCAAAACGAAACTATCGTGGCACTATATTTAAATGAGTGATAAAATTAGAACACGGATTATTAATAATCTGTCCTTCTATGTCATGTAAAAAATTATATGCACTGTGAATAGAGCTATAGAGATCCTGTTTAACGTGTTAAAAATGAGTCTGTGAGGATAGCAGCTATTTCTGTCACTGATTTGCAAAGAAGTCTCCTCTCGAATTGAATTTCTCCCAGATTATTTTCTCGTCACACTATGTCAGATAACCGACTGTCGATACTCTCAGCTACAATAAAATTCCAACTCTGTTAATTTATGTGTATGAACCTGGTGTCTTTTGAACCCTTTTTCTCACGAGAGTAGCCCATAATACCTCAAATTTAAATTCAATGACTTATGGATTCTGAAGTGTCAGCCAGCTATCGCCACAGTAGATGTAGAATCCAAATTAAGGTTTAGACTGAAGAATAACTGTCTAGGTAGTTTAGATACGCGCTATTGGCCAGTTGGAATCAAAACAAGGTGATTGGGTAAATGACGGTTCTAGATTTCATTGTAAATGTAAATGGACATTATTACTTAAACAAACATTACCACTCAGTTATTCAATCAATAATTCTTCAACTAATCAAATCTAAATTACGATAAATAGACAAGTTGATAAAGAATGTAAAAAAATTGTCAATCGCAACAATTAAATGTTATTCTATCATTTCTGGGTAGATCACGTGAAGATTCATTCAAAAAATAATATTTGGTTGCTTTATAACATAGGGTGTTTCCATTTCTAAAAGAGTGCTTCAATTCACAATCAAAAATGCACAATTTCAGTCAATGCAAGCAACATAATCAAAAAAAGAACAAAAACAATATGGCTGCCGCCAAGACTAAGTATCAACTAAAACAACATAAATTCACTACAGAATGAAACATGAAAACTCAGTGAAGACGTAAGAATATTGAAAACTATGGTAAAATACAAACATTACCATCTCAAATGGAATCAAAAAGATTGACAATATGTACAAGTGAAGGAATCAATAGGAACAAATTACAAGTGTATACATGGAGGGATTTTCATACGAAAGCCTTTCAAAATGGATCTTACAGTAGATTCAGTTAACTGAAGCTTAAAATCAATTCCCGGAATTATGACGATAAGAATAAAAACATAATATGTAATAAAAACTGATAGTGCAGTGAACAAGAACACCAGTGGGGACAATCGAATGTATTTGGACACATAATTATAGAGCATCTCAATAAAATCTGAGAATCATATATTAAATCGTTAATTTTCAAAATATCAATCCATCATATCAAACTTGAATTTTTCTGTTGCAAACATCAATCCATAGTCTCAGATTCCATTGTTCATGCATTTTCCTACCAATCGCGTTTCGTTTCCGCTCTTTCCTCGTCGATCTTCTACTGAAATACATTCTATGCCTGACCACCGTCATATACTACTTGTGTAGATATAAGTAAGCCACACCACAATAAATGTAAAGCTGCATTATGTCGACAATTCGAAGAGACAAATCAGATTAAAGTTAGACGATGACTGATTTTAAATCACTGTTACCAGTAGCTTACTGCTGTAACCCATTATCGTCTCTACATTTCAAATAGATTAGATTATAGTTTTCCTGTTGCCTGAACTGTTCTAGTCAGTATGTTACGTTTAAAAGTGTTAAGGTGAGAAATATTACGATTAAGCGTAACATGAATGGGAGTTGCAATCCAGAGTTTTAGGATTAAGA